TGTTTATGTGGCCATCTTGAACCTTACTAATTGTAGGTTGGTCTAGTCATTCGAGGCTCCCAGCCTGTAAGCATTCTGGCCTCATGGCCTAATCTGGTGTTTTATGACAAAGCTGTTGAAAGCATACTTTCAATGGGTAAAGGTTAAGAACCCAGACTTTATTTGCCTTTAGTCCCCTTGCAGTGGTCCCTACCTGTCTCAATCTGTCTTAACTTCTCACAAAATTCAAAGCTTAAAAGCAGTGAAAATCCATTGATGTATTCTATTTTATAACTTTTCACATGACTTCCTGTCAATATCTTTGGCTTTAGTCTTTCATGTTGCTGTGTTCCTTTAGATTAGAGACAAACAATGCTTTCCAAAAACACACATGTTCTGTGGCTTTTTCACTGGTAGAAACTTTGTATGGTAAGTTAAGGATCAGGAATTTTGTTATATTCAATGACAAAAACTTGAGTTAACTATAACATGTAGCTGAAGTGGTGAATATATGTAACTTCAGATTATACTCTCAGAAGATCTGAGACTTAAACAAAAGAACCTTCAACCTAAAATTTCATGGTTCTTTTCTATCTCTGGCTCTTAGAAGGTATGTGATCACTGGGAAAGTCACTTGACTTCATCATCTGAAAGTGAACCTGACAATATTTCCCTGGCTACCCTCACAGGGTGTTTGTGAGGATCAGATTAAAATGCTATACAATAAAAGGACTTTTATCCAAGCATGGCACATGTGTGTAATCCCAGCACTTGGGAGGCTGAGGTAGGAGGATCATGAGTCTGAGACCATGGCAAGCTACATAGCAAGATCTTGTCTCAAACAAACAAACAAATAAGGACTTATATATAAAATGCAAAATGCAGACATATAGTCCTGTTACATATTTGCAAGTTATTCTCTCAGCTGTGGGTTTGGGCAAAAAGGTGTTTTTTCTCAGTATACAGGATAATATGGTAGACTAATGCTAAGAAGAATATAGAACTCCCTTTAAGTTCTAATTAGCATTGGTGACACAAGTGTGCCCTCTGGAGCAGTTATGGTTGGAATGAATCAGAGGTGGATAAAATCTGCTTACTAATAGTGACTTGCATTTTTTTAAATGAAAGAACATGAAGCAAAAATTTCACAATACATTCCAAATAGCAAGTATAAATATTGTTTTAGTAGGGTGTGTGTGTGTGCTAAGAGTTGGTCATTAAAGGAAATGCATTTTTCTTTAAAAACTAAGTACTTTAAGAGGATTGTGACACAATGTATTTCATCTAATCTAAAATGAACTGATAAAACAAAAATAATCCACCAACTATATTACAAAGGAGTCCTAGAATTTTACTTTACACTTACTGAAAGAGCACTTTTAAACTTATATTTTTATCATAAGTCTTAAGCTTATTTCGATCTTTATCCTACCTTACGCTTTGCAAGTATAAAAAGGAAAACATAAGTGACATAGATTAAAACATTGCTTTGGCTCGTCCACTTTTAGAGTGCAGCTCTTTTGAACACTTTTTCAACTCAGGGTTCTGCTGGCTATTTTATATACCGGCTCTGCCCCCCTCCACATTGTCCTCTGTCCAACAAGAGCATTTATCTTTTTGGGGGGAGAGGGGACCTGGAGTTTGAACTTAGGGCTTCACACTTGAGAAACAGGGCTCTACTGCTTGAGCCCCAAATTCTATCCATTTTATTCTGTCTATTTTGGAGAAGGGGGTCTTGCAAACTATTTGTCCAGGCTGGCCTCAAACCAGGATCCTCTGGATCTCAGTCTCCCAGGTAGCTAGGGTGAACAGGCATGAGCCACTGGTGCCCACTAAGTGCATTAATTTAGTAATGCATCAAGAGTGCTCTCTTACTAGCTCTGTGATTTTCTTCCCAGCTATTATCATCTATCTTGCAACTTCAAACACAAGCAATCACATCAAGGTAAGTCTTCCACCTGGCTTATAGTGATTTTAAGATACACCCCAATTTTTAAGGTGTTAAAACATGGAGAAATGTGAATCTTATAGTAGATGAGCTGTGGTAGCAGTTAAGAGATGAATGTAGTGTTAGACTGAGTTATAAAAAAAAAAATAGCTCCACCATCCAAAAGTGTGTCAAAGTGTGTCTTGAGAAAAATCATTTAATCTCCACCCCTAATTTTTTAATTCAGGAGACAGTAATATTGACAGCACTTAACTCCTAAGTTTGTGGGACTGTCACTGAATGTTAATTTTTTTAAAAAAGGAATAAAAACGCCCACAATTTTAACAAATTAAGAACACTTAATTTTTTTAAAATTTAAATATTACTTTAATATTCCCAACCTACACATATCCATTTAAGTTTATGTTATACAAGAAAGTATAAGCTCATTTGAGTTTTATACATGAAAATGTTGTATCAAAAATGTGCAGAGCCTGGTGCCTGTGCTTACGCCTGTAATCCTAGCTACTCAGGAGGCAGAGATCAGGACGATCGCAGTTGGAAGCCAGCCCAGGCAAACATTTAAGGAGACCCTATGTCAAAAAACTCTATCACAATAAATTGGGCTGGTGCAGTGGCTCAAGGTGAAGGCCCTGAGTTCAAAGCCCAGTACTGCAAATAAATAAATGAATGTACAGAAGACATGGTACTGAGAAGGTAGAAAACATGATCTTTGAGTCAACAGAATCAGTTCAGATTAGTCTCCTCAGAATAAATATTGACAATTACGCAGCAAAATGTGCAGAACTGTACCATTTGAACTATGGCTAACAGTGATATACATCACAAAGTTCACATATTATGCAAACAGCCACAAAGGACAGAGCTGGACTCTACTGCATAGCAGTAATGCAGTGCAGCAGTGCACCGGAGCAGGATATTTTCTTTTCTATTTACTTCTTTGAGGAAATAATGTTTTGCTTTATTGATGAATTAGATCTTTCATATAATTATAACAAAATGTTATACTACTAATACTAATTAGCGGACAAGCCATTCCAAATGAAAGTCCTGAAATAATGGCTTGATGTTAAATGTTTAGTTTGGCTAATTGGAGATTTGCTGGCCAAGTTTAAATTTGTAATGTTATTTGCATGAAGTCATTAATGTGTAAAAACTCCTCCTAAAAAGTTTATCTCCTTTAAAAGAGTTAAAAAGGCTCATGTTTTAGCCTAAAAAAGGTGATTGTTTCTTTCACTTAGCATCCATTTCTTGCTTATTTACTAAGTTAAAATAAATATGTAGCAATAACAATCACTTATTTAGCACTTATTCTATGCCAAGTAATGTCTTAAATGCTTTCTATCTATTAAGTAATTTAACCTTCCTCAAACTCTATAAGGATGGCATTACACTTTTACCATTCGCTTTTACAGATGAGGGAACTGAGACACACAAGTTAGGGACTTGCTCTTAGATTGTTAGGGGTTCTTTGTGTTCTCCTACCTTCATGTACTACTGTCCTGATTCCTAGAACCTCTGAATGCAGCGTTATGTGGAAATAGGGTTGTTGCAGGTGTGATAAGTTACATTAGATGAAATTACACTGAATTGTGACCATAACTCAGTGATTTAAAAGAAGAAATTTGGAGGGACAAGAGCACCAGGAAGCTGCTTCATTCACACTTAATTTGCAAAGATTGCCTCAGTCTACAAGAAATCCCAGTCACTGTCCTCAGAAGAGCACCCCACCCGCCCCCCACGCCCCCATCTTGGACTTCTGGCCTCTAGAACTATGAGGTTACACCACTCTGGTACTTTGTTCTAGTTCTAGCAAACTAACACGTTGAGGAGCCAGGGTCAAGACAGGCTAAAATTGCTCCAAGACCAGGATTAACACTTCATTCTCTGCCCCTCCCATAATGGACCCACTCAAAATAAACACAGGCATACCCCCTTATCAATGGCACAGGACTGACAAGCTTTCAAATGTAACAGAGAAACAAATCATTGGAAAGTCTTTTTCCTTATGCATTTCCTGGTGCCACAGAACCCCTCTTTCCTGACACCTAAGTTAAAAGGGCTGTTGGAGCTCACACTCCTCTTGCCAGACCACCAATTAAGCCCAACACCTTAACTCTAAGCCTATGGCATTTCTAGGGTTTCCAAACACAAATATTTGAATCCAGTGCAGTGGTGGAGGCCTGTGATCCCAGCACACAGTGGGCAAAAGAAGGAGGATCATGAGTTTCAGGACAGCTTGGCTACTAGCAAAATCCTGCCGCTGTTGTCCCCCACCCCCCTCCAAGGAAAAATACAAAAAAACCCTACAAATGTTTGTTAAATAGATTTTAGAAAGCAGCATTCTGAGGTTAACAATATCCAGATATTTTCTTTTTCCTGTGGGTTAAAATGTGCCCTGTTGGTGACAATAGGGACAGTGGCCCTCTGAATTGTCCTATCAAGCTAGTACTGGCAGATAAAGGAAGTCTGTGCAGGTGGCTGGGCGACCTCCAGCAAGGCATGGATGAGAACAGGAGCCTTTGAAATGTTGAGTGAGTACCAAGGACAGGTCCTGAAGTCTGGCGCCCTGAAACCTGGGGGATGAGGGTAAGGGGGGTGGCGATGAGGGCCAGGGAGCGCTGCAGTCAAAAGTGGGTTCCTCTCGAACGGCCTGGGCGCTCCCTTCTGGCTCCTTGCCAGGTGTGGGAAGTATGAAGGTCAGGTCCAAGGTCAGGGTCAGGTGTGAGGTGGCGACTGGAGACCACCTGCGGTGGCTGTGGTAGGGTGGTTCTGAGCATTTTGAGTTTCTCCTGTGGATCTCGCGGTGGCCGCATCTCTTGGCCAGCACGAGGTAGGGCACCACAGCCCCCGCGGTGTGGTGAGGAGGACCGGCCCTGGGTCGCGGCGCAGGGGGTGGGAGTCTCCAGCGCGTGGCCCCCTAGGCGCTCAGGCTGCAGCGCCGCGGGTGGCTGGTGGCGGAGGGTGGGAAACGCACTGCACGCGTGTCCCTGTCACCCCCCGCTGCCTGAGCGCTGCGTTCTCTTTAAGCACGTTGGCCGCGCGGGGTCGGCAAGCACTTTGGGCGGAGCTAAGGCGACTGGGGGAGCTTTATCAGGAGACCCAGGAGGGAAGGCCAGGCCACCTCCTTCCTCAATCTGCTGCACACCCTAGAGCTGGGGACTCGAGGGCCGGGGCTGCAACTGCGCAGTGATGTCGGGGGTCTCAGCCCGGAGCCTGGCGAAGGGTGAGGTTGTCCGCTGCGATCTGGGAATGATCTTCGCGCCCCCAGAGAGGCTGCTCCGGCGGGAACGAGCCCGGGAGGCGGCGGGATCCGGGGACTGGGGTGGGGGACCAGGGGGTCCCGTCCACTCTGCAGGCGGTCACCGTCCTCTCTTCCCCCCCGCAGGTAGCGCGCCCCCGGGGCCGGTCCCGGAGGGCAAGATCCGCGTCTACAGCATGAGGTTCTGTCCATACGCACGGAGGACCCTGCTGGTCCTGAAGGCCAAGGGAATCGGGTGAGGACCGAGGAGCCGGGAGCCAGCTGCGGGGCGAGTCCGGGCAGGGAATCACGCACTGGACCGTCGGAGGTTTTGTTTCGTTTTTAGGGACAAAATTCTCAGCCTTTTGTGGAGACATAGCAAGTTACAAACCCTTTTCTTAAGCAGTCTAGGACAGTTTGTTCAGATTATTTTATGGATCAGAAAAGCTGGTGTCGTGATCACCTTTAGGTAAAATTATGCGTGACCAGTGGCAACAGCTGTCAGCTCTGGATCCTGGAGATTCCGGAGTCTGTGTTTCGCTTTCACTCTTTCTTGTCCTGCTGTTATTCTGAGTATATGACCCCTTCCCCCGTGGTAAGTTGCTTCAGTTACATACAGAGTTCAGACCTGAACCCTCCCAGCGGAGGCTGTGTCTACTGCCCCATGCACATCCTGTAGATTGGGTCTTTGCTGCTGACAAATAGAGGAAGTGTCTATGCCTGGAAAGTCAGTCTTTTTGAAAACCTCATTACTGAAACTAGCAGTTGTTGACTTGTGTGCTGTCCACAATGGACAAGTCACTTGGCTTTTCTCTGATGCTCAAGATCTCTTGGAACCACTTCCTTTCCAGTGACCCGGGGAATCTTTTGAACAGACATTTATTTATTAGATACTTGTGGCGTAGAAGGCTCTGTGGAAGTTTAAAATATCCCATTCTCAAGGAATTTTTTATGTAGAGTTTGTAAACTAATTTTAGTCTTCTAAGGGGAGAACTAGGCAGGCAGGCATTTCTCTAAAAGCAATGGAAGCTTCATGCTAAAGGAAAAACAAAATATTTTTGGATTTGCTATCACTTCACTAAGATTTACATCTCATTTGGGTGAAAGTATAATTTTAAACACAGAACAAAATATTCCCTATTTTGTAATGTTTATCTAATGCATTGTAATTGGTGTTTGCTGGATTACCCAAACTCTTATTGCAACCAACGGAGATTCAAAGATAAATGTAATAAAGGCATTTCTTGTACTCATCTAATAGGAAAGTCAAGGAGTAGAGCAGGGCTGGAGTCAGGTTCAAATGGATACAATTTTCCTCCCTCCAGAACACTTGTTTGAAAAAGTTACCTCTCACTTAGGAGAGTTTTCTAAAGGAAAAGTGGTATCATTTTACCATAAGGATAGGAAAGAAAAGATGTTGGTGTGTATTACTTTTGAGTAAATCTGTTCTATTGGACACTGATCCATCTTTGACAGTTATACAGACCTTTCTTTAACAATTATAACATACTTTCTTTTATTTCCTCTATACTCACTCAGGCTAGATACAAGGTAGATATGATTACAATCTGAATGTAGCCTGACTTCAGTTGTTTTCTTCCTTTTTTGGTTTACTTTGTGTGTTTTTTTTTAAACATGCAACATTTTAAAAATATATCAACATATGAGAATTCCTTAATATCCTTGTGGAAAGCAAAAAATTTTTTGTTCATATTGGCAAAATGAATTCAGTTGAGTCAATTCATTTTGAACTGAATTAAAATGAAGTGAATTTTGTCATGTGAATCCTCATATAGTGGGGAGTGGACACAACTTAATTAGCTGCCTCAAGTCAGGATCTCAAGGAGATATCAACACTCCTGCATCCATTGTCATGCTCTTCACAATAGTGCAGTGCTGATGTCCCTTGACAGATGGATAAAGAAATTGGGGTGTATACATACTATTCCACCTTTTAAAAGAAGGAAATTGTGCAAGATGTGGCCACATGAATGGATTTTGAGGACATTACTCTAAGTGAAATATGTCAGACACAGGAAGACAAATACTGCATGGTTCTAATTGGCAGGAGGTATCTAAAATAGTCAAATTCTTAAAATAAACAGGTATGGATAGAATCAAGGCAGAATTGACTATTACAATTGGGGTGTGATTAACTGAATGGATGGTTGGACCAGTTAGGATTTATTCAGGAGTATAGAAAGTGAGCTGGGCATTGTGGTTCACACTTGTAATCCCAACACTGGGGAGCTGGAGGCAGGAGGATCTTGAGTTTGAGGCCAGTCTGGGCTATATAGCAGGTGTGTCTCAAAAAACAAAAACAAAACACCAACAAAAAAAAAACAGATTATATAGGGCTGGAGTTGTGGTTCAAGTGGGAGAGCACTTGCCTACCACCAAAATAAACAAACAAATAAATAAATAGGTGAAATAGGTACAAGAAAAACACCATATTATTCCAAATTCTATTAAAAACCAGGTTAAAAAATAATAAGGTACCCAAAATGGATGGTTTGCTTTCTTCATTGTCTTATATGTTCCTTTCAGGCATGAAATCATCAATATCAACCTGAAAAATAAGCCTGACTGGTTCTTTAAGAAGAATCCTCTTGGTCTGGTGCCAGTTCTGGAAAACAGTCAGGGTCAATTGATCTATGAATCTGTCATCACCTGTGAGTACCTGGATGAGGTGTATCCCGGGAAGAAGCTGTGGCCAGATGACCCTTATGAGAAAGCTTGCCAAAAGATTCTCTTGGAGTCATTCTCTAAGGTGTGTGTGTCAGAAATGTTAGTCCCTATTTGAAAAAGCTTTTGTTCTTCTTTTTGTTTTGTTTTAAAAGCTAAATCAGTGCTGTCATTTATGATGGTTCAGTGATTTGGGAGAGGAGAAGAAATCAGGAATGTGCTCTTGTCTGCAGGACACATCCTGTAAGTCCTTCCAAGACCTGGTGCCTGTTCACTTCTCCAAAGTTATTCCTGCTCCATCCTCTCCTGAGACTCTGTCCTCTTCTGTCTCCACAGTCGCTACATTCACTCAGCTCTTGCAGAAGAGCCTTCTCTCTTCTATCTCGGCCTTGTTTACTCACAGGCATCTGCTCTGACACTGCTACCTCCCAGAAGCTTGCCCGCTGGTCAGTCCTCCAGCTCTATAATCTCAGATGTGGTCACTTTTCCCCATCAAGGGCTCTCTGCCCTAGTGATTGCCTGCCTTCTGGACTGCTTATTGCAATAAGAATGTGGACTCCATGAAGGTGAGGGGCTGTCCCCCACCTTTTTAGTTTTTTTAATAGTTGTCTCAGTATAAGCCCAGGTTAGCCTCAAAGTCACTGTGTAGCACCTGCTGGCCTTGATTCTTCTGCCTCAGTCTCCCTATTACTGGAATTACAGGTGTTTCTGACCATACCTGACTTGGAAGCTGTGTTTTGAACACTGGTTCACTGCCTAGGTTTGTGACTAGCTCAGCCAATTTTACCTTGTGCAACTCCAAGGAAGTTACTTATTACTTTACCTGTCAGTACCTTAGTTGTTTCTGTCTTATAAGGTAAAGATCAGTTAATATCAAACACTAGAGCAGCATCTGACACCTGGTACCTCCTCAATGTTGGCTTTTAATGGCATAGTCACAGTGTCTATCAGTGAGCATTAACTGTTGGCGATAACTCTGAGTTTACTGAATGGCATTCCTGAAAAAAAGTGCTTGCATCTTATTAGCATCAATATGGATCAGTTCAAACAATTAGTATCAGCAAAGGAGTAAACAACAGATGTGTTTTGCAACATAAAGAATAAAAATGCACAGTTATATTCCTATAAAGTTACTACCTTGGTAGTATGGTTAGTGTATAAAGGGCTATTTTGTCTCTAAACAAAATAGGTTTTAAAAAATATCTAGAAGATGGGAGTGCTATTGGGAGAGCATATTGTTTTGAGAGCTCTTGCAAAGGGATAGGAAGGAAGAGAGAGTCATCTGGCTTAATAGGATATGGGTAGAAGAATAGTGGAAATGGCTGCTGTCAGTGATAGAAAGGAAATATGGTATTTGCAAGAATGCTGTGGAGTTTAAAAATTAGTACCAAAAGATTCACTGTACTGTCCAGAAAGAAAACAAGCATGAAAAGTACAACTGGAGATGCCCATTAATATTTCCCATTCACCTTCAGGAAAAAGGTGGTCTGGTACCATGTGATCCTATCTTCCTGGGCATAGCTCATTAGAACACAGAAGCATCCCACTCCTGCCTCACTAATCTTCCCTCCTGGGAATTTGGAAGTAAGACACGGGGACTAAGAAAGTAAAGGTGTTAAGCTTACATATCATTGGAGACTTGAGAAATCAAGCCCATATAAAAATACATTTTACAGGGAAGTAGAAATGAAGAGCATCACAATGGAAACTGATTTATGGAAAGTAATGTGAAACAAAACTGGAGGCACAGCAAGGATGATAGACTAGGTAGGCAGAGATGGAAATGTGGACAGAAGGGCTGCCTGCCAGCTTTCAGTTCCAATGGGGAAGGTGTTCTGACATAGATAGAATTTCACACTACTGTTCCACAAGTATCCACACTGGGGTGGATGGGCTTCTGCTACACTGAAGAGACCTCAAGATAAGAAATATCAAAACACACAGACACCTCTACCACATTAGATCATCCGACACTTACACCTGTCAGGTCTTCAGGTATTTGGTTCCTTCTGAATTGTTTGTGTTCACTGAGAAAAACTCTTTCCCAGCTCCCTTTGCAGCTGGGTCAAGGTCTGTGATCGAGGCCTTTCCTGCCACACACATTCATGGTAATCTTGGATTGAGATAAGAGCAGTGTGAGGGACCAGGCTTGGTGTGGGTCACTGGTTGGGTGCTGTTGGTGACAGGGGCGGCAGAACTTCTGGCTTTCAGGGGCAGGGGTGGGCATAAGATCCAGAGAAGCGAACAACAACATTGTGGCCAGTGACAGTACTGGTTACTTGAGTAACAGCATAAATTTTGGTATTAGTGCTCAGCTGGTGCTGGCAGCAGGGACACTTCCAATTAGACTGGTTGTCAGGATGATTTGTAATGTCCTGTCTTAGTTTCAAGAATGTCTGTTCAGCATCCCAACAATTCTATGAGCCCCTCTGTGTGTCATTAAGTAATTTCTGGTTCAAATTTTCCAAAGTGTGCTCTGTTATCTTCAGCTTTTAAAATCCTGATCAACATCACATCTTAGGCTACAAAAGTGTTTCTACAACCAGTCCATGGTTTCTGTGAACAAAGGGACGTGGTGCACCATTGATGTTTCTGTAACACCCGAACACCCTAATGCCAGGATTATTAGGGTTCTCTCATGTTATTAAGTAAGGGATCCGATGTCAGCCTCAAATGATAAACTGTCATATTCTCCATCTAGATGCTATCTCTGATGTTAAGCTTTCCAAGAAAGCTTAATGACAGTAAGCAAAATAAAGAAGAGTGTGCTGGCATAAAAGAAGAATTGCGGAAGGAATTCAGCAAGTTAGAGGAGGTAATTATTTCTTCCAGCTTTTGTCATAGTAAATGATACCCTATATCTACCTTCTTTTTCCTTCTACTCCTTTCTTTATATTTCCATTTCCCAATTAGAAATAATGTCAAAGGGCCAGGCATAGTAGTACATACTTGTAATCTCAGCAATGTGGGAGGGGGAGGGAGGAGGACAGTAGACAGGCCAGGGCAAAAATGTAAGCCCCTATCTAAAAAATAACTAAAGCAAAAAGGGCTGGTGGTGTGGCTTAAGTGGTAAAGTGCCTGCTAAAGTCCTGAGTTCAACCCCAGTACCACAAAAAACAAACAAAAAACCCAACACTCTCCCCCAAATTCACTAGTAATGAATTTGTTCTGGCATCTATTTCATTTATTGTACTGTTCATGTAATTTTTCCCTCTAATATACTGTCTAGCGTTATCAATTTTTCTGGTGCTGAACCATCCTGGTGTTAGTGGGATAAAATCTACTTGCCCTCAATGAATTTTCATATGTATTGTAGAGTTAGTAAATAGTATATGTGTTCATAGATGGGAGGACCCATAATTTACTGTCTTCATTTGATATCTTTATATTTGGTATCAAACATATTCTAATCTCTTAATTTCCCTCATTTTTCTAATCTCTAAAACCATTCTATAGGGACTAGCATTTTCCATAAAGCAGTTGAACCTCGTGTCTTTTACAGGAGATGTTCCTTTACCAGTTCTACTTCTTTACTGGTAATTGATTTGGGGAATTTTCTATTTCTTTTTTAATCAACTGTTGTAATTAACTGGGCAGTGTGGAAGCTGAAATTAAGATGAGTCCATATTCTTCAGATGATTAGAGTTTAGTAGTAGAATGAAGACAAACATCACGTAGATATAAACAACCAATCCACAATGCATAGTGCTTCATGGGCCCTGAGGAAAATGATGGAGGTTATTTATAAAGGGCATATTGGTTTGGTGCTGATTTAATTAGCCAGATAATTTTCTCAATTTTCCCCTTTGGAAAAACTCTTAATAGCAATTCACCTTAAATTTCAGAAACATCCTATTTGTGGTTTTCAAACAATTGACATCTGTTTAACAGTTAATTCAGCCAATTTCCAGTGTGTTTTAAGTATGTTTGTAATTGAAAAATTGCAAGCAAAGAAGAACCTGAAGAATACAACTTAACAAATTTTCCAAGTCAGCACAGTCTCTTTGTTGCAGGAGGATTCAGAGACTGAGAAGGCACCAAAGCTTTCGGAAGCAAGTTTATTAAGCAAGCTGGCAGCAACTCAGGGCACTAGAGTCCAAAGGGTGAGCCCCAAGAACAAAGGGGGCTTTCCTTATACACCATTTAGAATTTGGAATATGTCAAATAGTGCTGCATTTGTACACTTATAGCCACATCTTTTGGTGAACCTGAATTTCCAAGTAGAATTGCTGGGTTCTAGAAGGGCAGTGTGAAAACTGATTGTACCAATTTACACAGAGACCAGCAGTGTTCCACACCCTTGCTAACTTGTTCACTTTAGCCATTCTGATGGGTGTACAGTGGATTGAATTTTGGTTTTAGTTTCACTTTCCTGATGAGTAATGCAGTCATTTTTTTTCAAATGATCATTGGCCATATGGACACTCTTTTGTGCAGGTTAAGTCTTACTTATTTTTCTAATGGATTGTTTACCATTTTTCTTTTTTCATTTTTGGATTTTCTAGTATTTTAAAAACATTTAAAAAAAAACAATAGTGACAGAAATGTCAGTGCTTGCCAGGGATTAGCGAACAGACTAGGTACAAGCAGCACAGGGGAGTATTTTTGGTGATGAGACAGTTCTATATACTGACTGGTTAAAAAAACTGGGGATCTGAACTCAGGACCTCACACATACTAAGCAGGTACTCTACCACTTGAGCCACTCTGCCAGACTTTTTTGTCTTAGTTATTTTCAAGGTAGGGTCTCAGGAAGTATATGCCTGGGCTGGTTTTGAACCATGATCCTCCTGAGTAGAATAGCTAGGATTACAGGCATGACCATCAGCACCTGACTGTGCTCCCTTATAATACCAGCTACTTGGAGGCTGAGGCAAGAGAATTGAGAGTTTGAGGCCAGCCTGGGCAACATAGTAAGACCCAGTGTCAATGAAGTAAACTGAAGTATGCATTTCTCAAATTTCACAGACTTGACACCAAAAAAGGGTGGTTTTACTGAATGTAATTAACTTTTTTTTTTTCCATTTCTGGGGATCGAACCTGGGGCCTTGTGCAAGCTTGCTACCACTGAGCTACATTCCCAGCTCTCCTCCCCCTTTTTAAAAAGAAAAATACTGAGAAGACAGGAGTCAAACATTCACCCTATGTGAACAAAAAAGGGAGGCTTAATGGTTTTCTCTTGCAGACAGTAAAAATGATTACTGGAGTGTTTAAGCAACAGAAAGATAAGAAATAATCTTTCATATACAAAAATTTTTAAAGAACAATATTCTTGGGCTGGGAATATGACCCCAGTGACAGAGTGACTGCCTAGTAAGCACAAGGCTCTTAGTTCAAACCCCAGTACCACTAAACAAACAATATCCTTATATAGAGGTAGTTTTGATACTTTGACTTGGTATTTCACTCTGGGAATAAAAGTGGGTTTGCTGCTTTGTTGTGCTCGGGATCAATCCCAGCCTTGTATATGCTTGGACTGAGATCTTCCTACCCACACCTCTCAGTAGACAGGTGTGTACTACCATGCCCTGCTACTGGTTGGGATGGGGGACTCGCCAACTTTTTGCCTGAGCTGGCCTCCAATCATGATCCTCCTTATCTCTGCCTGAGTAGCTGGAATTACTGATGTGTTCCACAATGCCAAACCTGATAAGGCTGATTTTTACAGCACTTTTTTGGTTTAGGACTCACTTTAGGAAAGTGACTTTGTCACTTTCATCGTTATCACTCTCCTCTTCTTTCACCTTCTAAGCATTTTCAAGTACTTCTAACTAAAATCTTCTTTGGTAATATATCTGCAATTAACTTAAAAGTTTCCAGTTCAAGTCACTGTAAGCCAGTGCTTTCTTTTCCTTTCCACTGCCACACCTGTAGGAATACACGACTAGCTATTGAACAAAGAGCTCCCTGGCCTTGGCGGTGAGCACCAGACCCTCTGGTTGATGCTGGACACCTCGGGGGAGCTTTTCATGATGATGCAGATGCAGGACACAGGCAGCGAGACTGGCTGCTGCTTCCCACACTCATTCCTGTCCATGGCCGCATCCACCATCTTCCTGTCCTCGGGTACTCTGCCATGTTTCTTCTCAGGAATTCTTTATCATGAATACTAGTCCTTTGTATTAGAGATGTTGTCCTTTGCAGCTTGTTTTATCTTTTTCCATTTTCTAGTTTATTTTATTATTTCACTTTATGCCAGTCCAACAGATTAAAAAACTGTTTGACCTTTGTGATCTAAGAGAAAAGCCTAACATGAATGTAAAAGTTGTTGCTTACACCTGTTCTGCTTAATTTGCTCTCATTTCTAATGACTATTCTTACTAGATGCACAAATAATCAGTATTCTTGTGCTGCTTAATATTTAGGTTCTGACCAATAAGAAGACAACCTTCTTTGGTGGAAATTCTGTCTCTATGATTGATTACCTCATCTGGCCCTGGTTTGAACGGCAGGAACCAGGGGAGCTAACTGAGTAAGACATTTGAATATCTTGTGCGTAATTTAGAATAGTTTATCTGAAGAAAACTTAAGGTATTTAATACAATTGGTATGAATGTGAACAAGTGGACAGGAGGGTTCTATACCTACATTCACTACTCCTCCCCAGATTTCTGTGAAATGGGGTAAAGTGTTTTAAAATTTACTCCTCCAGGGGTTAAAAACCCAGAAGGATGTATACTGTTGCAGCACTCTGTGATCAGGGTTACCTCCATTTACTAGTAAGACTTCGCACTATTTTCTAAACTCCATCTTTTGAGCTTGGCAGACAACAACCTTGGCTGACTGCCACTTCTTAAGAGATTAGACCTTTTCAGTTACTGCTAAGTCACATCTGATGATAGAAAATTATTAACATTCTTAGTTCCATTATAACTCTTTTAAAGTTATTGATCTCTCAGTTGGACTAGCTTACTTTTTAATTAATTTTTGAGAGATTCTTGCTATGCAGCTCAAGCTGGCCTCAAGTTATGATTGTCCTCCCTCGGCCTCTGGAGTGCTGGGTTTATAGGCATGTATCACCACACCTGGCTGGACGAGTTCTCATACTAACCCAACTAGTAACTTCACTCTCAACATATTTGTAAAAGACTTCTGACAACTTTCAAACATAGTATCTGTGATTTCAGGCATTTAAAAAAAATCTTTTAAAAGGTTAGGGGAAAATACAATCAAGTGCAGTGATGGTGATATATGGGAGACTGCCATGCTCACACCTTTCTTTCTTCCTCCTACAGGTGTGTCTCCCACACTCCAAAACTTAAGCAATGGATGACAGCCATGAGGGAAGATCCTGCAGTGTCAGCCTTCTTCCTTGATGCAAAAAGCTATCAAGGTTTCTTCCGACTCTACTTGCAAAACAGCCATGAGGCCTGTGACTATGGACTCTGAAGGGAACAACAGTCAGCAGTGAAGCTATGTCTGATATTTTACTTCACTGATATGACCAACAACATGCTTTCATTTTACCAAATACTCTTACATCTCATTGGCTCATCTCTGATTTGCCATCATGGTCTATTAACGTCTCAAGGCCCTCCTACAGCAGGAGTGCATTCCCACCTTACCACACTCAAACATAACTCTGGTGGTTCTACTATAGTCTTTGCTGAAACTCCCAAACTATCATCTCTAGTGAAATCTACAGTTTAACCCAGCTTTCTAACTGCTTATCTGCAATTTTTACTAAGATATTAAGCAGTCATTTCCAGAAATATCCTCTCAAGTTTCTTGTCTTCTGGTTTCTAAACAGAAAATTTCAATTCCTTATACTTTCCAACGCCAACTTCATTTCACTCCCTCTCTTATTCCTGTTATTGTAGCAAGAAAGGGGAGGTCAGAAAAGAGATAGGCTGTGTTCTGGCGATGAGACAGCAGAAGGGGATGGCAAAGCAGAGAGATATAACTTAAAGAATTCAAACATGAAGGTCACATAGCACTGGGGAAATGAAATAGCCAATGAAGTCACATGCAGCCATATGTGGTTGAGCTTTTTTTTTTTTTTGGCTTCTGTAACCTGCTTGCAAGGGTATGTAAGGTAAGACCCCTTTGTTCTTGGGGCTCAGCCTTAGGACACAAGTCTGGTGGGTCTGTGCTAACACAATAAACGTTGCTTCCTGCTAATCTGCCTCAGACTCATTTCTCAGCTAATAACTTCCAGAAAAATTACCAGTGACGACCATATCCAAATCACCTCAAAGCTAGGTGACTGGGGGACCTCCTGTCTCTAACCCCTTCAAATCTTTTCTCCAAATCCCACGCTGGGCACACAGCAGGGTGTAGTTAAATGCCATGAAAACCACATCATTCAGTTCACTAGAAATATTGTAGCAGGGAGGAGAACCAGAAAAGAGAGAGGCCTGTGTTCTAATAATGTAGGAGGGGAAAGAATAGCATAACAGAGATAAAAGCTTCAAGAACTGAAACGTGAAGGACGGGTAGCACTGGTGGGGGATGGGAGGGAGAGTGATCTAGTTAAAAAAATGCATGCAAGCATATATGGGTTAAGCTTTTCTTTTTGCTTCTGCAACCTGCTTGCAAGGGTATATAAGAAAGCACCCTTTGTTCTCGGGGTTCAGCCTTTGGACTCAAGTCCACTGAGTCTGTGCCTGCACAATAAAGCACTACTTCCTGCTGAATTGCCTGTGTACCCTAACAATACTGATGACATCTTCAATGCGTTCCCACGGCCCAGTGGGAGTCACCGTTTTTTATCATCACATCTCCTCCATGAGAAGCGAGACCTTACGATTCTGGCAGAAATGGCTGGAGATCGCATCCGAGACACATCAGAGTCAGGGGGCTGCCGACCCCTGCCCCAATAGTCTGGTTTCCTGTACTTATCTTCAGATTGGCTGGGGAGGAAAAACCCCGGGATAACTAGTTCTAAACAGTGCATAGCAATCCCCTAGGCCCTGCGCGGCCCTTCCGAGTTAGTGGGAAGCCCGCCACGTGCTGGCCGCACCCTCAGAGGCAGCTGCGAACAGCTGACTTCACAAACGGCCCCCGGACGCCCACCCTCGGCTGCCCCAGCGCCCCCGGCTCCCAGCGAGCGGTCCGTCTGTGCCGCGGTCCACCGGCCCACCCGCCAGGCCACGGCGGCTCCTGGCGCATTTCCAGTCGAGTGTGGAGCCAGGTGCCCAAGGGCCGCCGCCAAACACCAGACGCCTTCATCTTCGGCCAGCCACAGACTCTGGCCTTGAGCCCCAATTTCGGTAACCAGGAACTGTAACGCGACCGCCCATTGGTCCACTCTGCTGGACTCCCGCTTCTAAAAGCTTTGTGGATTGGCTTGAAGCTTAGGGCGCCGCAGCCAGTTCGCGGGTAGGATCTCGCGAGAAGGGTCGGGTAGGATCTCGCGAGAAGGAGCGGGCTTCGCTTGGCCCTGCCTCTTTCTGCGTGCTGTGGTTGTTCGGTGTGTGATGGTTCTGGCTGTTGAGTGCCGGGAAGTCCTTGGGGAGTTCCTCTCCTGTCACCTCCACCGGGTGGGTTGGTCTGGCCCGCAACGTATTCTAAGGGAAGAAGGTTTGAGACCAATTCTCAACTGTTGGAATTTCGCGTCCCACAATAGGACTGCCCAACTTTTAATTTTTTCACTTTCATTTTTAACATGGTAAGGGAAAGCCCTTATTTAATCTTCGTTACTGTTTCATCAGAGAATTTAACATTAAAAAAAAAGGCTGCGGACGTGGCTGAAGTGGTAGATTCAATCCCCTGTATCGTCAAAACAAACAAAAAACTGCAAGGAGCCTGGCGCTGGTGGCTCAAGCCTGAAATCTTAGCTACTCAGGAGGGAGAGATCAGGAGCATCGCGGTTCGAGGCCAACCTGGGCAAATAGTTGGAGAGACCATCTTGAGAAAACCCAAATGACTCAAGTGGTAGAGCCTAGCAAGTGTGAGGCCCTAAAATCCCAGTACCACAAAAAACAAAACAAAACTGCAAGGAGTCTGGAGATATAGCTCACTGATAGAGAACCCTTGCCAAACATGCAAAAGGCCCTGGGTTCAATACCCAGCACTGGGTTAAAAAAAAAATCCTAGGGGAGCGGGGACGGGGGCGGGGGGGGGGGGGAAACAAAGGCTATAAGAATAAAGAACAGGTCTTTAAACTGAAAGCTTTTAACTCATACTGTTCTTACTTTTTTTGATTTGGCTAGAGACGCAAAGACCACCCTAGAGATCATGGGTTCTTGGCCCTGCAATCCAGTATCACTAGTTGAACTCCACCACAAAATTAGGGCACAGGTAGACAGGGGAATTTGGTTTCTGGCAATGTCCTGTCTTTTTGAAGATTATGAAAGCTTTCTGTTTTATTCAAATTATAGTAAAAACAATAGCTACTTATGAATGCTTACTAGGTAACAGGCACGTACTAAGCATTAAGTGCTTCTCATCCTGAGTCTGAATGAAACCTTTCACAACAACATGATGTACTGGTACTGTTACCTCTACATTCCAGATTAGAACCCCAAAGCGTAGGAAGTTTTTGTAATTTGCCCATAGTCACCCAGGTATTAAATGCTGAAGGACATTCTAAGACTGCTCTGGAGATAAGAGATTACATGTCTATGCCCCAGACTCTTCATATTCAACAACTCTTAGCATTTAAATATTAAACTCGAGAAGATAATAGGGGGTTCCATACTCTTATTCACCAACCTCTGGCAGAAAATAAGTGAAAAAAATTACATTTGTATTGAATGCATGCACTTTCATTATTCCCGAAGCAATATATCATAACTATTTACTAGCATTTACATTATATTAGATATTATAAGTAATCTAGAGATGATTTAATGCTAGATTGTATGCAAACATTACACCATTAAATAGGGTCTCAAGCATGCATAGAATTTGGTATCTCAGGGTCCTGGAACCAGTTCTGAGTCAATATCTAGAGATGACTATATTCATCTTTTCAACTACACCACTATTATGCCTGGAATTTAGTAGGAGGTGTTGTTGCTCCTTTCCTAAATTCAGTGTGTTTTGTTTGATTTTTATAAATATTTTAGTTGCTAATGTATGAATCTTGAAATTTTGCATTTGCTTATTTTAATATATCAAAATGTGTAAAAATATTTTCTTTGATTCCTCAAATTGTAAAAAGGAGAAACAAGGGTAGGAAAAGAAAACTAAATCCTTTGAATGTCTCCTTTAGCCCCGCTTTCCCTAGTGGGAAAATAAAGTCCCCCCCCCTGCTGGGTCATTTTAGTAATCTTATTTAATATGCCCCCAAAACATCTTCCCTAGAACACAGGATTCTCTATGATCCTCATTTCCTGGAAACAACTCCTGAATGTAGGCACATTGGAGAATAGAGCCTTTCCCCATTTTTCTCACTCTTTAAATTCAGTGAGTAATAACAGAACACCAGGTAATGTAATCTTTCATGTAACATGGCCTTCTGAAATAGTAAGAGGAATGTCCTCTAGTTTCTGGCACCATAAGACACTGGCAAGAAAAATTTTACTGAAAAATGTAAGGTACATTTTCTTTCTTCAAAACAAACATATAAATAGAGTATATAAATAGAGTACAACTCTGTACACTATATTGCCTCTATCAGAGGAAGAACAGTTTCCATCCCTTTGTCATTTCTCCCCAACTGCACCAAATAGACTTGCATTTCAGAACTTGACCTCCCACATACTTCTTCCTGTTGATGTTGTCTTCAGAAAGGTCTCATTATGCAGCCTGAGCTGACCTCAAACTCCCAATCCTCCTGCCTCTGCCTCCTGAGTGCTGGGATTACAGCTGCACACCTCCATTCCCAGCTCAGGTATACTTTTAATGAACATTTTCCCACTGTTAGATTTAATTTCCTCCAATAAAGAGAAAAACGTTGGCAATGCATCCTCTCTGGGCATAGTAGAACATTTTAATTTACAACTAGAATTCCCTGTTTGGTCATAGATAGCTCAATCATTGAATATAGACCAAGCATGGCCAAATTAATGCCATCAGGCTAAATCTAGCCAACTGCTGGTTTTTGTACAGATCAAAAGGCTATGAATGGCTTTTAAATGTTTCAATGGTTGAGAAAAATATCAAAACACAAATCAGAACTTGTGACATGAAAATTATATGAAATTCATTAAAAGTGAAGGATAGGTAAGCTATGGGCTTTGAGTAGTAAGGTGTCATTGTGTGTTCATCAGATTGTAACAAATGGATCACTGTGGTTGAGATGTTGGTGTAGGAAGTTGTGCGTATGTGGAGTTGGGGTATGTAGGAAATTTCTGTATGTTCTGCTCAACATTGCTGTGAACCTAAAGCTGCTCTAACAACAAAGGATATTAAAATATTTGAAATTCAAGTTCAGTGTCCATCAATAAAGTTTTACTGGCACACAGCCACACTCACATATCATTTATGACTGTTTTTACCCTAGAAGGGTAGAATTGAGTAGTTGAAACCAGATCACCCCAATCTCCCACTGTCTGGAGAAAAGTGGTGACCTTTCAGTCCATTGTATCTGGTGAAGACTATGCTACTGGTTGAGATTGTTGCCCTCAGTGTGAAACTTCCAGAGTTCCTAATCCTCCCTTTTCTCCTACTAGTTGGGAGACTTTTGACAAGTGCTCACCCTTGCCAGTCTCAGTTTACTCATCTTTTAAGCTGGCCTGATAATAGAATGTCTATGGGACCATTGTAAGGGCTAAATGGACTCATACACGTGAAGCAATAGTTTATTTTGATTTGGGGATCCCACTTTCCTTTTATGGCCTTCCCTTTTAGAATCTGGATATATTTTTCTTCACTGTTTGAAATCTTCTTTATTTATGTGAGAGACACAAATTTCTGCCCAGAAGTCATCTCCTTATCTACCAGGTGCTCTAACATGACATGGTTAAGTTCCTTGTTTCTATTTTATCAACCAGTGTGTCCTTCTTGATCAAAATTAGTTCCAGAGTATAATTTTCTATAACTTTATTTTCCAAAATGAAAAGTGTTAGCATATCAAGTCAAGCACCCATTTGTCTTCTCTAACAGCGGATTTCTGGCTGACACTTATGCTTTTCTAAGCATTGATTCAAACTTTTTTTTTTGTGGTACTGAAGTTTGAACTCAGGTCCTCATGCTTGCTAGGCAGGTGCTCTACCACTTGAGCCACTCTACCAGTCCCTTGATTCAAACATTTTTGCTATTCTTCAATTCGTATACAGCAACCACACATGTCATACTATTATCTATGCTTGTCTCATAAGAAATTACTGAATGATTTAGTTAAAAAATGTAGTTGAGTCACTATTCTGAAGATTTTTCTATGATTTTTTTTCTGGTGCTCCTCCATTTTCTGTTATTGTTATTCTGTAGAAAAAAGTTAACACTACAAACCAAGAAGTTCCAGAATAGAATTACGAAGGCCAACAGGTGCCTGATATTTATAAGCCACACAATGAGACTCTTTCATTTTAATAAAAGATATTTAGAGTTTACTAGCCATCACTGGGCAGCCAGTATGTGCTATTTCTTTTTTTGGGAATATGCCTTCTCTTCCACACTGTCTCCATTTTAGATGCCAAGACAATGAGTCAGTCTTCGGACTTTTAAAGTCTAAACTAGTCATTTTGGGTAAATAATGTTATTTGTCTGGCTCAGTTTCTGATTTTGTAAAGTAGGAATAGCACTAGCTGCCTAACTGTTGTTGTGAGATGCAAACAAGGTGTCAGTGAGGTGCATAACACTTTTCTTTCCTTCATTATGTGTCAGTCCCATAAAATGCTTTTGCAAGCAATTTCCACTCAGCTCAGTCCTGGAAAATTAAAGAAATTCTTTTTCATCTGCTAAAATTCAAGAGCTCAGCTTATCAGTGTCAAGGTCAAGGCCAGCTACCTCCTCCACTGTGCAAAAGGCCTCTGTATTGCTGGACTGATGGTAATGTGTTCTTAGCAATTAGAACATGTCTTCTTGGAAATTATGAGAAAGTTTGGTCATTTTGAAAAGAAAGGAGAGGAGGGGATAAAGGAGAATGGTAGAGGAGGTGAATTCAAGTATGATATATTTGATATATTGTGAGAACTTTTGTAAATGCCACAATGTACCCCCACCCAGCACAACAATTTAAAAAAAAGCTGCAGTCATGTCGAAGATGCAGCCACTTGTCTAAGTGACAGAAGAGGAGAGCTCAGAATGGGAAAGAGAAAGCTACCCTTGCCAATTTTTATTAACTGTCCTTGAAATGCATGTTGGGGTTTAAATGCCCATTCTTTCACAGAATTTTTTAAATTGTTGTTTTGTTTGATACATGGTCTCCTTATGTAGCCCAGCCTGGCCTGGAACTCACTATGTAGTCCAGGCTGGCCTTGAACTTGTGATCCTCCTGCCACAGCCTCCTAAATACTGGGATTACAGGTATGTGTCACCACACTTGGCTTCCACTGATTCTTGATGTGGAGGAGGCCCCATCAGACATGTCTAAAGCAAAGGGCATATTTCAAGGTTTTATTTTCTTTTGCTTGCCCCTACTTGGGCTTCAAAATCTGGGGTGATGTCACCCCAGGTTAAGTTATTCTAGCTCCTGCCCCAGATCTCTTCCTCTCTGCCCCACCAGAGTCCAGTCGTTAAAGTTGATTTGGGGGCAGGAGGGGCACAGGAGTGCAGCTGTCCTTGGAGCAGCACTTGGCTGTGAGCCACAGAGACAGTGACTGTGAGTGCTGGGTGCAACGCAAATACCTAGAAACCATGTCTGGAGATGCAACCAGGGCCTTGAAGAGAGGTGAGTCCTCCTCACCCCTGCCCTCAGACTGGGGGTGCCACGTGACAAGGGATGCTGACTACCCAGTCTTTGCTTATAGATCAGTGGAGGGAGGAGGGAATTGGAGGGCTCCCCTGCACAAAAGCTATGTGCAAAAGTGTCATCTCCAGGACTTGGAAGTGGTGCATGCAGAGACCTCCTGGAATCTGGGGGAAGTGAATGAGCCTCTCTGCCCCACTAGCTAACTGGCATCTGTCTCTGTCCCTCCCTTTACCTTCAGGAAGCTGCCCCCCAATGCCAGTTCCAGAAGGTGTGATCCGCCTGTACAGCATGAGGTTCTGCCCCTACTCACACAGGGCACGCCTGGTCCTCAGGGCTAAAGGCATCAGGTGAGAACCTGAGCCAAGTGTGACCTGAGCAAGCCCAGGCTCAATTGGGGAGGAAATACGAAAATCTGGGGCACCTGCAGATCTTGGAAGGGCCTTCTGGTCTTTTTTTTCCAATGCAAAGTCAATAAATAGCAAAAGATGGGGTTTTGCAGGCACCCCTGAAATGCAGAGTACTTTTCTGAGCTTATCTATCCATAAAACTTTCGGATGATGCAGAGAAAACTGAATGACGGCTTTGGTGAACTGGTTCCCTCCCACTGATGTTTAGGAATGACACAGCCAAAGCTGTTGAGGTTTCTCTGACTGCTTCCTCCAATGTGGCCTCCGTCCCTACCCTAGGAATCTTAGGTCAACTCTGTTCTGTTTTTCCATTGCAGCCAACATTTTCTGATTTGTTCCTCCATCTTTCTTTCACTCCTGCCCCCTCAACTTCCCACCATTAAAAACATCTAATACCTCTCACTGCAGAAATGAAGACTGTGATGTTACAGATTTTTCATACAACTTAAACTTTAAAAACTACTGTAATTCTAATTCTTAATTTTATAAATTGATTGTTTTTGTTTTCAAGATTGTCTGCCTCTATATGCTTCCTATTTTTATTCAGTCTTCTTTCTCTTTGCTTTCAAAGACATGAAATTATCAACATTAACCTGAGAAATAAGCCTGACTGGTACTATACAAAACACCCTTTTGGCCAAATTCCTGTCCTAGAGAACAGCCAATGTCAACTGATCTATGACTCCATCATCGCGTGTGAGTACCTGGATGATGCGTACCCTGGAAGGAAGCTGTTTCCACATGACCCTTATGAACGAGCTCGCCAAAAGATGTTATTGGAGCTATTTTGTAAGGTATGTGTAATTATAAAGAGCCACTCATACTCAATTTTCCTTCATGTAGCTCTCAAATTTCAACCCATTCTAAAGTCAAATCATTTAGAACATTGTTTCATTTTAATATCCCATGAGCCTCAGCAGAGTAACTGGCATAGGATTAGAGTAGAATGTGGCCATTGATAGCCAAGGCTGCAGGCTTAACTACTGCTACGTACTTTTCCATTTCAACTAGCAGTCTAGGGAGGTGTGGTTACAACATGGAAATGACCATGCAACTTGAAATAAGAATGCTGAAAGAATTGACAGTTGGTGATCCTTTAAAGGGAGTATTTCTAGGGCTTCAGGTACAAAATGTCAGAGTGAGGAGATTATGCATGGAAGGGGATTACCTTTTAGACAGGGCAAGAGTGCCACCTGCTAGGAAAGTGAAGAATAGAAAGGAAGGGGAAGCTCTTGGTAATGGGGGAACAAGTGATGGAGAAATGTGAATGAGTCCCCTTGGAAAGAAATAAAAATAACTCAATGATAGTAATAACTGACATACTTGAGGACTTAGAACTCTTTTTAGAGGCTAACTTATTTCCTCCCATGGTTGCTCTTTGAGGTGGTACTGTATCCATCTTTCAGATGAGAACACTGAAGTTTAGAGAGGTTAAGTGTCCTGCCTAAAGAATGCACAGCAGGAGAGCAGATGATCTACAATGGTGCACCGGGGAGCCCCTGTTAAAGTGCCTGGTTTGACCAGAGTGCTGTGAGACATGGGTTCCTGGAAGCACAGCGATAACATGATGCTCTGTGCAGGGGGCTGAGGTCGGGTATATGGGTGCCGGCTTGTCGTGTTGGAGGTACAAAGCCTTCACCACATCTTTGGGCAGAGGGGATCATGGAGTTTCCATAGATGTCTTCACTAAGAATCTGTGTCCTCTGACTAGGTCCCACATTTGACCAAGGAGTGTCTGGTAGCACTGAGATGCGGGAGAGAATGTGCTGATCTGAAGGGAGCCCTGCGGCAGGAATTCTGCAACCTGGGAGAGGTATGAAAGGGGACCAGGCCATGCAGGATCTCCATCTGGTCGCTGACACCTGCTTTCAGAGGCTTATTTTTCTTGCCAGACTGATAAAGTCTACCTTCTCATCACCTGCTCCACTCACCTGCTTTGGAATCATTCTTGAATATCTGGCAAGGAGGAGGCAGGACTTGTAATGAATGATTCCTTTCCTGGGTTACCATGTTCGCTAAGTATTGTCGTGTGACTTCTGTGACTTTTGCCAATAAGGCTGAGTTATAGGTCACGGATGGTGTGGGACCTAACTGCTATAAATTTATCTTATAAGGGTTTATTCTCTCACATAAAAAAGCTAGAGGTAGTCACTTCAGGATTATTTTGCTGGTTTCCTTATGAAGTTGCCAAGAACCGAGGTTTTTTCTCTCTTTTGTTCTGTCATCTTTAGTGCAAGGTTATCATTCTCAAAATGACAAGGTAGGCCTGGGAGCATGACTCAAATGTTGGAGTGCCTGCCAGCAAACATGAGGCCCTGAGTTCAAACCCCAATTACCTATTCCCTCGACCAGAAGATAAGATAGCTGCTGGAACTGTAGCCATTGCCTCCCTGTTCCAGTCTCTGCAAAGGAGAACAGAATTAAAAACTGGCAAATGGCTATATCCCTTTAAAGGACTTTCCCTGAAATCCAATGACTGCTTATATCTCCTTGGCCAGATTTAGTCATAGGACATAGCTATCTGCAGAGGAGGCTAGGGAATTTGTTTGCTGAGATAGCTTGAATAAAATCAGTGTTGTGTGATTAAAGAAGAAGGGAAGTGGATATGGTGGATGAAGAGCAATCTCTCCCACTAAGTTCTTCATTACCTTGGAAGAAATGGAGCTCCTTACTGCTTACCCCTTGCCTCTAGAATTATCTGGAAGGTGGCTCTTTGACCTCTTTTATCTTTGTTCCAGAAACTGATAAATTCCTTTTTTGGGTGGATTGTTCCTTTATTGGCAGCCAGGAAATCCTATTTTTACCTTCTTAAGGGAATACTAACTATTAACACTCTTCCACTTAACCTTTCTCAAGTGGGAGCACATTACATTTATGTACACTTCATTTCCTGTCTTAGAGTTGTAGAGTTTCAGTATTTATGGACGATTAGTTATCATGCCGAAGAAAGATCAACCTTTGGTCCTGAGGTCTTGACCCTGAGGCAATATGGTGTGGTGGAAGGAGACTTGAATCTTAGGTGTGACTTAACTGGATTCTAGAACCTTCGACAAGACCTGGTAGACACCAGCACTATCTTTAACCAGTGATGAACAAGATATGTCTAGTAAGGTAGTATTCTGGCAAGGAAGGAAACAGCTGGGTTTTTTTTTAACAACAACAACAAAAAAAACAAGTTTGAAAACTCTTGCCAACAGAAAATTCTTAAGATCCTTTTAAAAAATGATCACCTGAACTGATGTCATCATACCTGGTTACCTTCTCACAGACAAATAAATGCTGGGCCAGAGAAAAGAGCTGGAGAAACAAAACTCTTTGAATTCAAGGATAATAAAAACATTTATGTGTGTGTGTGTGTGTGTTTCTGAGGATTGAATTCAGGCAGGGCCTGTGGCTTGCTAAGCAAGTGCTCTACCACTTGAGCTACACCCTCAGTCTGAAACACATTTTTATCTGTCTCCCTCCTACTCTGCCTTTAGATGGTGGATGTACTGTGTAAATTACAGATTGCTGAATGAACATAAAAAAAAATTATGGTGTAGGTACAGCGCTTCTTCAGTTTTGGTTCTTTCCCAGAACAATTCAGCCAGTATTTTGCTGCAGGTGCTTTTGATATACCATCTCACCCAGTCTTTCCAACAATCTTCTCAGGCCAATTCTACAAATTCTATTAGTCAGGGTGGTCTCTTGATGCAGGCTGTGAACCAAGTACTAGGAATGCAAAAATTAGAGACCTCATTGAGGTTTAGTTCTACAGCAGGAGGTAGATGGTTAAAACCCACTTAACAGTGTGAGGCTAAAGACATGCAGAAGGTGTGGAGAATGCACTATTGACTCTCCAAAGATCAGTCAGAGGCATAGGGTAGATCAGAGTTGGAAAGCAATGGACCTTTTCCACTGTGCCAAGGAATTTGCACTTGATGCTGAAGTTGATGGAGAATAATCGAAGGCAGTCAGGCATGAAACGGGCAGTTCCTTCTTGCTTTTTAAAATGCTCAGCCTATCAATGGTGTGGAGGATGGAACAGAGTGGCCATTGGACCATGGTAAAGACAGTTGGAGATGGGATTTGATTGGAGAGGTTTTAAGGCAGTAAGATGAGATAGAATATGGAACAATTAAGGTCGTTTTCCAACTTTGTGGCCAGTAAATTCTTCTCACTCAAATTTGGAGGGAGGATTCATTTTGCTCAGTTTGAGGTGTTAATGGGATATCTGTGTGGAGACAGGTTAACAGAGTGATACCTGGGCTGTATAAGATCTTTGAGTTGGTTTTACTGGCTAGACCTTTAACTGGAAAGATTAGACATATAACCAGCAGGGTGGTGAGTGATAAATGTTTCACAACTCTCTGAATAAAGAAGTAAGGAAAAAAATCTTTGTAGCATTTGCCAATTTCAGTGGGGTAAACCCTCCCACCAAGGCTGATTTTAAGTTATCAATGTGCTGGGAAGAGGCGTGGACAATTGGACAGCTCCCATGCATTACAGAATAACACATTTCATTTATCTTTAGTAACTGAGCCCCAGAAATACCTGTTGTTGACCAGCCCAGGTTCAGGTAGTTGTCACTGATCTATTGGAGGGCTTCTGAGCATTCAGCACTGTCCCAACAAATTTGACTGTAGCTTTTATCCCAGAGAATGTTGACAAGCGGTTGGACGTGATGGCTCCAGCCTGTAATCCTACCCACTTAGGAGGCAGAAGTTAGGAGAATGCTGGCTCAAGACCAGCCCAGGCAAAGAAGTTCTTAAGACTCTATTTCACCAATGGCAGGGTGTGGTGGCACGCACCTGGCATCTCAGTTACCAGGGAAGTAGAGATCGGAGGATCTGGTCCAGGCTCTCCCAGGCATAAAGTGACACCTTATCTAAAAATAATCACCACAAAAGGGCTGGAGGGGTGGCTCAATGGTAGAATGCTTGTCTAGCAAGCATGAGGCCTGGAGTTCAAACCCCAGTACCACCAGAAAAATAAAAAAAAAGAACGTTAACAAGAATGTTAGCTCTATGCTAACATGTATGTAATATCAGAATCCAAAAACATGACCAGTAGACGTGAATTATTTGATGTATTCCTCTAAATATTAATATAGGGACTTCAGAAGATTCTAGTGAAATTGAAATTGGTCAGAATAATTCAGATAGAAATAATCTTCTCACTTATGTAACTCTTTCACATGGTTTTGTACAATTAGAATTTTGGGTGAGCTACAGATATATTAAGTACACATGATCTTTCTGAGTGATAAAAAAAGCTAAGATTTCAAAGTACAATCATTCATGTTATAGCCAAGCAAAAGGCTCATTTTAAATATTATGCTCTTAAAACCTGACAATTTTTTCTTTTGAAATAAGTGCCCTATATGACTTTAAAATTTTTTTCTTTGAAAAATCCTATTTCATTAAGATTGAAGATCTATTGTTATATATTCACATTTTTCTACAATATTTTTTACACTTCTTTGAGATATATTACTGCTGCTCTTATTATTGAACCAGCAACCTGCTCACTTGCTTTTCTGTTCTGAACATTGAAATACATTTTAAAACTATTGGGATATGTTAGCCTATCCATACTTTAAACCTGTCTTCAAGCAGATTTTCTAGAAACATTAATCTATGCAGCACACAGTTTTTACTCTTCTTCTTTTTTACGGTATTATTGACTTTTCCATTCCAACAGAGCCAGGCTTCGTTTTATCCATGTCAGTGTATTTCAGCACAGCAGAACCTTTCAGGGGATTTGGTGCCACCACAGACTTCATTCAAAATATTTTCATTATGGAAGTAGTCAAATCCAGGTCAATGCAGTGAAATAAGTTTCTAGATTTGGCCATATTTTTCTAGTACTTTGGATTTTTGCGTTAATTCTGGCTTCCTATGTTTATGCATTATTGCAGCTATTGCTTGGGGCCTTCCTAGCCAGTGAAAAAGTGAGGAGATGACATAAATAATCCTGAACTAGCTCCGGGGAAGTGAGCACCTGCCCAGCAACTGGAGCCTTCATCTTCCTGTGACCATAGGACACTTCCTCTGTTAGCCCCTTGGCATTCGTTGACCTGCTTTCCATGCAAAGCTTCTCATGTTGCCAAGTTTTTGTTGTTGTTGTTTTGGGGTTTTTTTGCTGGTACTGGAGTTTGAACTCAGGGCCTCATGCTTGCTAGGTAGGTGCTCTAGCACTTGAGCCACTCCTAGCCCTTGTTTGTGTTAGGTACTTTGGAGATAGTGTCTCGTGGACTGTTTGTCCAGGCTTGCTTTGAACTGTGATCCTCCTGATCTTTGTCTCCTGAGTAACTAAGATTATAGGCATGAGCAGGGGCGCTCGGCTAAGTTGCCAAGTTTAATTATGTATTTTTTGTGTAGAAGTTTGCATGAGGTCCAATAATGTCTCCATTAAATTTTACCCATAATCTTAATTTTTTAAATCTGTCCTTTCTTCTATACAAAAAAGATATTTTTGTCCATTAGATTGTATTGTCTGGTTAAGTTTTACTGTTGTTCATTAATTTTTAATTAATTCATAATTTCAGTGATGAAATTATTTACATATTGTTTGTTTCTGCTTTAATATCACCAAGATAGCAGGGAAAGAAAGTTCATAACTGGTTAATTCTTAACTAAAAAGAATTCTCTATAATATTTATATAGTACAAACTATCTATAAACTAAATTTATTTTTTAGCATCCAAGTTGACATGTCTACAAACTAAATTCCTTGTTAGTAGCTATTTCTGTAACAGCTTTATTTGAGTTATAACTGATATATCATGAAATTCACCTTTTTGAGTGCACAAGTCAGGCGGGTTTAGTATAT